AAAAAAAGGAAAGTACTATGGACTCAAATTACGTCTCGATGGGTGAAGTATTTCGAAAATCTGTACTACAATTTTTTAAAAGCGTTCCTGGTTTCGCTGGCGATAAGGGAATTACAAATCGATGGCTTACTGGAATTATTAATTATTTACAATTGCTATAGAGACTGATTTCGTAAGATTATATTATTGTTACAGTATTCTAAAGCAAATGAAGTTATTAATTTTAATATACCATTTAAAAATGGTCGGCGGGTTGCTTGTCGAGAATTCGAGAATTTTAAAAATGACTCCAAAGGTTTATGCAGGTTACCATTACAATAAATGATTCTCACCTCACTAAAACATAACCAATTTGTAGTGTTTAAAACTACTGGCTATCATTTTAATCATCTCATCTCATTTTTTTCAGTTCCATCTATTAATTTTTGGTGAAGTAAAAAAGAAAAAACAACAAAAATATAGCAACTGATATTATTGTAGTTCTATAAAGAAGGTTCTAAATTCTAGAAGGTCCCAAGTCATATTAATTTTGACCTCAAGAAGGTACGACGATTATCCTCATTCTTTAATAAAAAAGATTATACTTTTTATATTTTTCTTTTCACTTCAAAAACGATGGAAAAACACGCGGCTTGCAATTAAATCAAGCTAGGAGTTCCGGGTACGGTAAAAATATGGTAGACGGATTACGATTGGTTTTCTTCTACATGCCTAGTATACTTATAAATTGCATTTTTTGGCTGTTTCAAATCCACTTTTGAGGCTTGCCAGCTTGTCGCAAAGTCATTTTGGCGTTTAATTTCCCTGTTAAAGTAGTCTCTCTTCAGATTTTTTACATACTGTCTAACCATTTCTTCATAAGCACGATCAAGGACAAGTTCATCCAAGGCAGTGCAGCAAAAAAATGAAGTTATGTCATCCAGTTTTTCTTCTAGTTTTCTCTCTTTGACAATTGGCTTGAATGTTGCTAGAGTTTGGGTAAATTTGAAAGCAGATTTTAACATTTCTATCCGTTTAATACGCAACCGATCCTTTGCTCTTTTAATTGCCTGCCCTAGCACGTCATCTGGATCGCTGTCATCGCCATCGTCATCAGTATCGTTACCGTCATCGYCATTATTAAAGCCTTTAGCATCGTCATAAAAATCAATATTTTTTTTCTTTTCACACTGGTCTCCTTCGTATTCCCCCTCCTTTTCTTCTTGAATACTTGAATCTTGGCTTTCAGATTGAATGTCTTCTATGTCATTTTCGCTCTCGATAGGGAGCTGGCCAATCTTATTCCCYTTTCGACCTCGAAATTTTTCTACTCGAGACAAAAAGTGATCCAATACATCAAGTTCTCCGTCTTTTAAGTGCTCATCGCCTTGTACATCAGCAAATGCATCCATCAGGATAGTCAAAAATGTATTCATCAGTATCATTACCATGATCATCATGAATGAAAAGAACAGTAAGGGACCATAAACCCTATCAGCTTCTTCCATGCTGTTAAAATCAAATCCACCAAGTAAGATGTTAAACAAAGATTTGATTGTGCTTGTCATTGACTTATATTCAACCATGATAGTCCCAAAAATCAAGTAGTATATACTGCAGAAAGCAATATAGAATATGAAGAAGACCAACATAAACGACAGGAGTGGGTCGCTTGCAGTCGACAATGTCCGAGTGAAGAGAAAAACACGATGGTTGAATTTGAACAGCTTCAAAAGCTTTAAATTAGCAACAAAGACGACAAGACCAAGAAAATAAGTCAGAAGCTCATCAAAAGTAGCAGCTTGGATAAGGCTTACAAATTTGTCTGGATTTTTTTGCATTTCACTGATTGCTTTAGTTGTGGACTTTGATCTTTGATACAGAGAACCAAGACATCCAAAAATAAATACAATCATGAAAACTTCCATCCAATTCCACACATCTTTAAAATACTGCTTTCGTTCTTTTAATACTTTCTTCGATTCTCCGTAAATAAATATCATGAGAAATAGAACCATGAATAGCTGACAAACAGTTGTTACTGTCTGTGCTGCGTCTGTTGGTATGAAGAGACGGGCTGCTTTCACATTATCAAAATAAAGAACACCATTTGTTGGCATCCATTCAGTTAAAAACGTTGCGATGCCAAACATGTCTACTTGTGCATTGTATACACTCACTTCCACAAATAATGCTCTTGTTCTTTGATCGATCCAGTTATTTGTCTTTAAGTCATTAATCCCATCTCCAGTACTGTGAAGCTCGGTAATATATCCTCCACCACTGTAAGTAGATAAAATCCCAAAGTATGGATATCCTCCTATATCAAACATTGATTGGTATGTCCAGGGATCTGGTTCGTTTCTTGTTTTGTTGGTAGGTATCCATCCTTTAAGATAATTACTTTTGTCCTCACTCAACATAGAATAAAAGTCATTGCATGTGCTTGAAACAATTTCCATACCAGGTGGAATTTCGCAGCTACCTGTATAATGCAAAAACATCTTTCATTAAGACATGTTCAGCAGCCGAGCAAATGCAGTTTTTTTATTGGGGAAATGGGCAACTYGAATTTTAATCCCACAACGTTTTACGATATCTTAATAACTAAGGTAGGTAAGGAAGTTTAGGGGAATTCCTGCAACAAATAATATACGGACAACAGAATAGAGAACTGGGGATTATGGAGGAATTGCTAAGTCTTTGTCAGAGACAGAGACAGAAACAGAGAGAGACAAGGGACAGCATAGATCACACCTACACATGAAACTGAGGTCAGGAAATGGCAATATTTCTTCGACTTCGTCGCATCATTTTTATATGTAATACAACCCCATGCTGTCTMATTAAGAAACAATGTGACGAACAACTTCCGAGGATTGCCAAAATTGGACGAGGCCGTAGTTTAGCTTGGCAGTATTAGGACTTTTTCGATTCAGTAAAAACGTTTTTTTTTGCTTACATAAATACCCTAACTATTATTTTGCTTTTATTGTTTCTTTTGTGTTGTTGGGATGTAACTCATTTAGTCTCTCCATCTCTACAAACAGACAAATGACTAGTACCCGGTGGAACACGAAGCTGCCTCAGGCGTGCTGTTCCAATTATTCTTGTGTTACAGTCGATGGAATAGTTCGACGACGGTTCACAAAACGGAACCCAGCTTCGATTCGCCGCAGATAGGCTTGGTAGTACAGTCGACTCCAGCCAAGTCCAGTAATTTGAGGTTCCATCGTTCTAAAATATTTCATAAAAGTTATAAAAAAAGAGGAAAATGTATTTTATATTCACTTAATTTTAATTTATATTTCATTACCTGACTTAATCCATTTCCAGCATAATTTCCACCTATATAAGAATCTATCAGATTTTGCGCCACTGCAAACGCTTGTGGATCACGATGGCTATAGCTTACAACAAGAAGCGACGTGAGAAAGAATACATAGATAATCATATCTTTGATGATAGCGTCCATTTGAATCTCCCGGAGCTTTTTCGTTCTTGCCTCATCAAGTTGTTCTTTACTAGGCGGAAAAGTCACCTTCGTCTTTGTAATGTCGTATTCGTAGTTATTGGTTTGCTGAGGATTGTCATCTTTTCTCTCATTATCATAATCACTTTCGTCTGGCCTTTTAAGTACTAAAGCATAATACAATGAGATAAAAGCAACACGAAAGACGTTGATAATAACGATGTCTTGAAATATAATTAGAACAAAAGATGTCAGCCATTGGGCTGCCAGTTCTTCGTCATATTGCTCCCCAAAGTGTGCAACAAAGTATGCTGAGGCCGATGATAAAGCTAAGAAATAAAACCATGCCAGAAATATAAAATGATATGGAAGTTTTATCCTCTTTCTTGCATTTTTTCTTTTTAATGCTTGGCCTGACTCTTCATTAATACCAATCGTTACCATTGGGGAATTTACTATTCCATCATCATGCAATGCACTCAGCACTGCCAAAGTTTTTTCATCCATTTTTTTCTTACATAGACCAGAGCTTTGTAAATGTTCTTTGGAATCAACTTCGTGCAGCTTTGTCTCTGATTGTCCAGCTATTCTATACCAGTCAATAAGTTCTAACAGGTCTTTGCCATTTGAAAGGAGTGGCGCATCCTTCAATTTGTTGTCATCGTCATCGTCATCACTTTTTGCTTTTATACTTCGAAATATTCCGACCATGACTTCATTAATAGGAAGCAATAATAAGCCGCAAATAAGCGTCACATAAATTTGATGAGGAGAAATCCGAAGTGGTCCGATTGCCATTGTGATGGATGGATCCGCTTGTCCCCAAACTTTGTATAAGAACGAATTGATGAACATCGCACAATAGATGTACATTAAACAGCATGATAGTCTTTGAACTCGAGAAAATCGACTACGAGAGGGTCTTGTGAATACGGATAACCAGAGATGTCCTTCTGTCAATCTATTTCGAGCAACACTTGTAAACAAATGCTTGAACGATTCTACCTCTTCTTTCTTTGCCACTGGCAAATTCCTTTTAACTTGACCATCATGATGCTCAACAGCCAACCATTGGTTGCACATGAAATAATATAATTCATCTTTTAGAATGTCTCGAATTGACACCTTGATCAAATACCAGGAGGGGTCGTCCCCGTCATTATTGTGCCATATCTCCAGATAGTTAAGTCTTCCCAAATGAAGGGGTGTACAGAGAAGAAAAACATCTACAGCCGATCTTTGAAATCTTTGTCGTTCAATATCATGCAACGCTCTTACAGAGGTTTGACCATCTTCTCCTTTTATGATGCAACACACATTTGCAGTGCTTCCAGCATTTTTACTGAGGCCAGTAAAAACTTTTATCTCATATTTAAATTTAAATTTTGGATGGTTATCCATGAGGTGTACAACATCGTCCTAGTAGCAAAGAAAGGATTACTTAATATAATTTAAGTGATATTTACAATAAGCTTGTTTCTATTGATAGTTGGAAGTCTTCTCAAAACAAGCACATTGACCTTTGAAAGTACCTTTTCATGTCAACTTACTTTTTCTTTGTCTTTCATGTCCTTGTACCAAGCCCAAGCAAACAGTAAAGCATATAAGCAAAGTACAAGGATAACCATTATCATAGCAATAGGACTCAGCTTTTTGATTGGTACTGTGAAAATGATAGGATCAAATCCAAGTTCGCTCTTCATGATGCTGACTAATGAGCCAAAGGCTCCAAAACGTTTACACAAACAATGAGTCTTCTTTAAGGATGTTTTTGGACCAACCTATGAATTCCAAACGAATAGCCATTAGCATTTTTATGCTATCATCTGTCGAATTGCATGGGGTGAGACTTACAAATTTGATTAATCGTAAACTATTTCAATTGCACTCGTTGTYAAAAAAAAAAAAAAAAWGTCTGGCATTGGCCTATAGGGGTAAGTGGAGCAAAGAACTGTGGTTTGAAAGCCATCACGTCTTCGATTACCTTGCGATAATATACTGTTTATGTCATTTGAATGGAAACAAAAACGTTTTCTAACCTTACATCCATCAGAAATGAATGCTTTCTTTTTATTATTCCAGAAAAAACACGCAGACTGATAAATGCCAAGACTATAGGATATATTAACTTGATCGGCTTTCCAAAGCTCCTCAAYCTCATCAGAAAGGTCCATTTTTAAGTAGATCTTATACAAACCAGTTTCTCTGTAACGGTTTCTTGACAATTGGAGCACGTATATTGTGTCTGTTTCATTTGAAGAATACACTGTTAAAACAGGCGGTTCTCCAGATAGCACTTTTTCACCATAGACAACATACATATACCACTTTATCAGATAGGAAGAATTTGGTAGAAATTCAATATTTACAGCGGTTTCTGGTGACGTCCAATTAATTCTATGAAATCTAGTAGTTCCGTTTAGGGGATCTACGTAGTAACGCTCAGAGAAATTGCTAGCTGGCAGTGCTTGAGGAGAATGTGATATGTTGACTTGAATGAATTCTTTTGTATTCGTAATGTCATGGTTTGATCCATTAGCTTGTAGAAGATTGAAATGAAGAAGACCGGATATCAGATCTTCGGGAGATTCACAAAATTGGTAAACATTGTTATATTCCATTATCTGCGTAAAAATGAAATATTATATTATTAAGTATAAGTGAGGACCACATCCAAACTTTAAATTTAAGAGTAATTATTTGATTGTATTTGATTCTTGGTTAGATGGGATAAAATCAGTTTTTATTAGGATAAATATACAAATAATGAGAATTAATTATTACATAGGTAAAAGAAATCATACACTGTTTTTTTCCACGAATGGAGTAAAAGTTACTCCGAGTTAATCTACTCTTCAATGCGAGTAGTTTTGAATCAAGAGGTTTTTAAATCAATTCGGAAAGAGAGTCAAATTTCTCCGGCAAAACGGGTTCATAATTGGCCGATAACAAAACGAGCAGGGGCCTGGAACTGAAAATTTTAAAAAATGGTACAATCTTACAGAAATCTGTTGTCGATAGACAAAGCAGTTATAAATTAGCTAAAGTTTAAAGTTTGAGCAAGTTTAAGTCATTAGAATTGGGAATATAATTTTTCAAAAATTTCGAAAATTAAAAAGAATGTATGTTTGGCTGGACGCTTTGGCTGGACACCATACATTTCTTTGTAATTTCTGGGTGATTGATTTGCGACCAGGCCTGCATATGAATTCGCCAAGGTTGTAAGCCAGTGAGCCCGTGCATTTTTGTTAAGCGGTCATATTTGAAAGTGTAAATAAAGGAAAGGGAAAACCCGCAGCTCTCCTTTCACTCAGATAAACAGTACAAGTCGTGTTAAATTTATTTACATAACTAAACAAAATGATTATAGAATTAAACCTTTAAGAATTGAATGCTCATATGAAACATTATCCACCTTAAATACACACGTGTTTTTCAGAAGGGAATTTAGTCGAACTTTTTTCACGATGGAATTTTGTTTTGAGTCGTTTCGCAACATAAACAATCGCTATCAAGACATTACACGAAAAACCCCAGTCACCGTTTTAGCTCTCGTTGTAAGGTCAAAGGTAGTAAATGTGTAACCGACCTGTTACATAACGTCAACCTGTTGCTTGCGGCTTATTGCCGAAAATGCGACAAAGGATGAACTACGACAGTTGATTTGTACCAAAAATATTAAACGCTTTAACTCTATTGGAATACGTGGACCTAAGCTGCTCTAGCTCTTTCAGTGATGTTGTAGATACCTCAAAGCTTAGAGGAAACAAGAGCTAAGAAAAAGGATTTGCAATGGTTCCTCCTAAGATCATACTTTGGACTTGAATGTGCCTTCAACGACCTTCTGAAGTCTTCGTGAAGTCGTCCATTGCTTCGCATGCAATGGAGAACCCGCGTAGAACACAGACCAATTATTTTTATCAGGGAGGGGAGTCTCTTGGTATTAAAGAAAAAAATATTTGTTATTTCATTTTAAGATAAAATTCTATTTCTATAGCAAAAAGATTATGGTTGATATATGATAAGATTATAGCAGACAGTGAAGGTTAACGGCTGTGTTTTCACTAGGACGTTAAGCTTGCTTAAAATTCTTTGTGGTCTTTATTTCCGGTCAGAGTATAAGCTAGTGTAAATTCACCGACTGTTTTCATTGCAAACGTTAGGTGGTGAAATGATGGACAGGTCAACCTAAATATGTAGAAAGCTCTCTTATTACTAAGTGCACGCGCCAAGTTCGAAAAATGGCGGGAGCTCGAAGTCTTGTGTTTACAACGTTATTACTKCTAATGTCAGTGTTATCTCAGCGAAAACGTTCTAGATTTTTGCGTAATCTTCGATCCCTATCTTTGCAACGTAGACGGAGAGTACTTTTGGCGCTTAACAACGTTAGGAGGCAGCAAAATCGTCGGTACAATCGCCGATGGAGGCAAAAGACTGCTTGGGTATATCAGAGGCCCCAGTTTTGGTTTGAACAAYTCTTAAATAATCGAGCTGAGGATCACTTGTGGCGAGAACATTTCARAGTCAATAGAACAACATTTAACTATATTTGTGGACTAGTCCGTCCGTACATGACAAAACAAGATACTTTGCTTCGAGATGCTATTCCAGTGGAAAAACGTGTAGCTATTGCCTTGTGGCGGCTATCGACAGGGAATTCGTACAGAACTGTAGGACTTACCTTTGGAATAGGCCGATGTACTGCAATGAATATAAAGGACGAATTTTGCGCGGCTTTACGTAGGCTAGCCTCGCGCTTTATTAGATTCCCTAGGACTGAAGCCGATACAAGGAGATGTATTCTAGACTTTGAAAATATAAGCACGTTTCCTCAAGTAGTAGGAGCACTGGATGGATCACACATTCCTATATCTGCTCCTAAAGAGAACCCGAACGATTACATCAACAGAAAAAAGTTCCATAGCGTGATATTACAAGGGKTCGCTGATGCYAACGGTAGATTTATACATATCAGTACTGGATACCCTGGTAGTATTCACGATGCTCGAGTTTGGAGGATGAGCTCGCTATACACAGCGATCCAAAACAATCGTGTCCTTACCTCACCCGAATGCAGAATTGGTGGTAGGATTGTTAAGCCTTTGTTGGTCGCTGACCCTGCCTACAAGCTGACAACTTGGTGTATGAAGCCCTATCCTCAAGCTAGAGGTATCACACCGYGTCAAGAGGCTTTCAATAAATCCTTGAGTGGCGCGCGTGTGGTAATAGAACAAGCWTTTGGACTTCTAAAAGGAAGATGGAGATGTCTTTTGACTAAACTTGACGAGTCTGTAGATAAAGTTACCTCTACYRTYGTAACTTGTGTTATACTGCACAATATTTGCGCTGATTTAAACGATGATACAGAAGTTGAAGCTGTACATGATGGAAATGGAATCAATCCCCTCCCTGTTCACGGCCACATTAACCCAGATGGAACAAGGCTACGCAATCACATTTTGGACACATTATTCTGAATCAGTTTATTATGTAGTAATTTCAATATAAAGCAACATTGACTTGCATGTTATTGTTCTCAATTYTATTTTTYAGATATGTATATTACTYATTGACTGTAAAATACTTATTAGAAAGCTTATAGTGAAAACTATATTTGAATAGAATAAAATGAAAGGATGAAAAGTTGTGCATATATTTTTATGGGCTTTGTGTAACAAAGCTAGTATTATTATTTTCAATTGAGCACTTAAGTAACGAAACTGACTATTGTTCAATCTATTGACAACCTTGCGGGGTTTATAGTTTATAGGTTGAATCAATTATTGTCTTTGAATATTTTGGCTACCTCCTTGATCGCGTCGAACATCAACTTCTGACTTTTGAGCTCGCGGTCTGCCTCCTTTTCCGCGAGCTTCTCAAAGAACTCATGATCCCTATCTTGGCTTTGCCTCAAGAAATCAAATAACTCGACGGAGGAATCTTGTTCTTCCTTTTGTTTGTTTGGTTTTCTTTTTGCTGCTGGCTGCTTGCTTTTAGCTGCTGGTCGCTTCCCTTTCGCAGAATTGCTGTTTTGGTCGTTGGCCTCTGGAGATTCAGTCGTGTTTCTCTCTGAGCGAGGGCTGTCGTCTACCGACTCGATTTCATCTTCGCTGAGTCCAYAATCTAGTGTGYATTTTGGTGTAATATTAGGCTTACAGCCTAAAACATCATTTAATTCATCGTAGTAGTCGCACGTTTTATCGTCAGTTCCCGATCTGTTGTTGTGGYCCTTGACCCTCTTGTACTCGTCCTCCAATGCTTTGACGCRGGCTTTGCATTGCGCACCACTTCTAAAGCTTTTTAGCCCTTGATCTTTCAACTGTTGATTTAATTCCTTTGCAATTGAATCCCATATTGCTGCRTTTCTTTTCTTACTTATTGGGAAGTGGTCTCGCCATAAATCTAGAAGATATCTGGTCTCCTGGTCTGACCAGTTTTTGCCGCGACCTGGCTTTGGAGTTGAGTCCGGTGATGAAGATGACTGCGGAGGGAAATATAGTGTCGTGTTTTGGCTTGGGTCAGCACCTGACGAAGATGGCTGCGACGTAGGAAAATATAGAGTGGTTGTGTTTCGGCTTGGGTCAGTAATCGACGAAGATTGTGATGGAGGAAAATATAGCGTGGTTGTGTTTCGGCTTGGGTCAGATGGCTGCGACGGCGGGAAAAATAGTGTTGTGTTTCGGCTTGGGTCGGGATTGAAGTACTGCCCAGGTCTGAAAAGCAATGGGCCGGGTTGCTGTTGGTTTTGGGCATTTAACAAATGCAATGGAGGAATATTAAAGCGATTTCTGTAAGAAAAACAAAGCTCGTCAATAACTAAGTCTGTATAATAAGTCAAAGATATCATGCGTTACTCAGAACGAACTAAAGATAACTTAGATAAATATGCAATGAAAGCTTACCTGAAATTTGGAGAATTTGAAGAAGGAACGTTATTATTATCAGAAGGATCTGCCATGGTTATATTATTCAACGAAGATCGATGCAAAGAACACGAAAGAACACGAGGCACTGAAAGTATGCAAGATGTAATCGATCTGGCAAACATCCGTCAAAAACTCAGCGTGACGATCGCTGTGATTGGTCGGTGTGTTTACTTGGCAAAGTTAAACCATGTATCGAGGTAGTTTAAAATGTGCTCGATTTCCGGTGCTTTTGTGTCGATTTCATAAGTGAAAACACTTGGYAATTTTAAGCTAGTTTATGCTTTACTCGGCTGTTTTCACTGCGTTTCCGGATTTTTCGCCTTTAAACTAGCTTAAATGTCCTAGTGAAAACACACCCANAGAAGGGAATTATTTAGTGGAACTTTTTTCACGATGGAATTTTGTTTTGAGTCGTTTCGCAACATAAACAGTCGCTATCAAGACATTACACGAAAAACCCCAGTCACCGTTCTAGCTCTCGTTGTAAGGTCAAAGCTAGTAAATGTGTAACCGACCTGTTACATAACGTCAACCTGTTGCTTGCGGCTTATTGCCGAAAATGCGACAAAGGATGAACTACGACAGTTGATTTGTACCAAAAATATTAAACGCTTTAACTCTATTGGAATACGTGGAGCTAAGCTGCTCTAGCTCTTTCAGTGATGTTGTAGATACCTCAAAGCTTAGAGGAAACAAGAGCTAAGAAAAAGGATTTGCAATGGTTCCTCCTAAGATCATACTTTGGACTTGAATGTCGCTTCAACGACCTTCTGAAGTCTTCGTGAAGTCGGCTCGCATGCAATGGAGAACCCGCGTAGAACACAGACCAATTATTTTTATCAGGGAGGGGAGTCTTTTGGTATTAAAGAAAAAAATATTTGTTATTTCATTTTAAGATAAAATTCTATTTCTATAACGATAAATATTTGATTGACAATTAATAAAAGCTATTTTATAAAGATTTCCAATTTCTCTTTGCGTTTTAGCTTTTATTTATCGGATAGAATAAAATGACAGGCAGCCTACTCCACTGGGTGGAGTTTTGCTGTGCAAATTCCTCCCGTCGGGGGGTTATGTTTACAACATAAGCTTGTCAGCTTTGCGCTGATTGGCTAGTCGCATTTTCTCAAATCACCCAGTTGGCATGGTTTGAATGTCCGTAACTTTATTGCTATAGGTTCAAACATCATGAAACTTAGTCAGTAAACCTTTTATATGGCGCTCTCTCACATGATGGGGTTATTAGCGGGCTAGCTGTGCTAGCCAGCTATAGTTTTACCTTTTCCACTCTATCGTGTCGCAGTTTCCAGTCTCTCTCGAACCACAGGAAGCAGTTTGCAGTCTCTCTCGAACTGAAAATTTTCTCAAGAATCCAACATGGCGGGTACTTCGCCGATAGCGATAACAGAGAAAAAAGTACTCAAAAACTATCAACAAGAAATACCAAAAGCTTTCTCATTGAAGAATTGAACTAGGATATTGCATTTGTGAAGTTTCAAGCTTGCTAGTTATTATTTTAAGACGATTTTGCATCGAAAATAGTCTCGCCTTCCTCACCACTCCAGCTCGATGATTATTCAGTACAGCTTCAACATGAAATCAGCTCAAATACTGGCTTTTTTCCACATTTATAGACAGCAAAAGGTATTTTTCTTTTAAATGACAACGTTTTTATTGTTCAAATTTAAAGAAATTGCTTTAATATCATCGGGTTTTTTTATTAGTTAAAAATGACAAAGTACAAGTTTTGAAATCAGTGAGCTTTGTTTTGCTTCAATTTTTAGATTTCTTTTGTACGAAAGAAAGGCTAATAAAAACAAAATTTAAAGAATTAAGAATCCACCCATGTCATCCTAAATGCATTGCTATGTAAATAATAATGTGATATCGCTAACCAAGAAGTAAAGAGCTTCCATAGATATTATTACAAAATACATTGCAAATGTAGGACAATCACTATAGCAAAAAGATTATGGTTGATATATGATAAGATTATAGCAGACAGTGAAGGTTAACGATTAGTTTCCTGTAAAGAATATTGCGGTGAACGATAAGAATTGAACTGCAAAGAAAACTAAGGTATTCTACGGCATATTTTACTTTCATATATAGTTATGTCATAGTCACAATATTCATTGGAGATACAATTTTATCTTGTATTGAAAATCTTTTGCTAAGCTAGCCCGCATCACGCTTTACACAAGCGTCTAGCTCTTTCTAGAACCATTATCTAATAGACTTCTGAACCTTTTACGTCACTACTTGATTTTCAATGCATTGTGGGATCAATTTCAAGAGAAAACAAAAGAAATCCGCCATGTTCTGTCCCAAACATATCCTACAATGCATTGCGTATACGGTACATGACGTAAAAGCTGCAGAGGTCTATTAGATTTTGAAGTTCGGACCCAGTTCCTTTTTCGTTTTGTTATCGGCCAATTGGTCTTAGACAATGAGTTACTCACCATAGGCCTTTTCTGAAATAGCATAACGCTTTGCATCGTGGTCTAGATTCGGTACAAACATCTTTTGTTCATGTGGCCAAATATGGTGTTGTTTGTACTGAAACTAGACCACAATGCACCATGATTTCGTATCTCAGGAAAGGTCTATGGTGCAGTTAAAATTAATGGTGGAGTTAAATCTACTAAAGGATAGGAGTACCCCTGGTTCTTTATTTTAAACTCCTATTTTGGATTTAACGCTTTTAAAATAACAGTGTATTGCAGGTTACCTTTAAATCAATGACATCTACAGATGACATGTTATAACTCGGCAATAATTTGTCTGTCTTTGGAAGATCAATCGAGCCTCTTGTAAAGGAGTAATTTCTGTCGCTAATGCTTTGTCCATGATTTCGCTCCAGGGTTATGTTAGCAAAGKCAGTTTTCATCACAAACTTGGGATCTCCGACTTTCATAAAGGAGAGTAAGATGATGGCTATCTCGTCAAGCGTGTCAATCACTTTAGCGATCATTGACTTGACTTTTATCTGGAACAGATAGAAAAAAACAATAATATAAGATGAATAAAAGTACAAATGGTGCAAAATCAGAAACATCGGCAAGACTTAAACATGATATCATGATAATTATTTGATCGAGTGCTTCATTGAATCAGTCTCAATTGGTTGCCTAGTTGATAGTATTTATAGTTGCCATGGTTGCTGAGGAATGTCAAAGTACCGAGAAGTCCTGAATAAAACAGAGATTTTAAGGCTACATTTTGTTGCTTTGTCTTACATCATTACATTATAAATGAAGATATAGTTACCACAGTCTCCTCGTAAGGCGATAGGGTGTTACACGATTCGGATAAAGCAGTAATTCCCATCATAATGTTGCTAATAGTCTCCAATATTTTTCCAGCGACATTTTTTATCTGCTGAATGATCTTCAGTCTTTCAGCTTCTGTAAGAGAATCCTTCCTCGCAAGATCTGCCAATCGCTTCAGTGTAAGCMCAATGTCGCTCAGAGAATTGGCAATATCACCCTTTCAAAGGCAAAAACGGATTGCATTACACATCTGAGTCAATCATTGGAGGCGATACAGATCTCCATTTCATGATGAAGCAAAGTATGATGGAAAATATATTTGTCTTCCTCACTCAAAGAAAGTAAGAGATTATGGAGCATGAAGATAAATTATACAAATTTACATCTCCGATGCAATTTGATCGGCTAACTCTGTATTTATTAAATAAAAGACATAATTATAATAATTATATTATAATTATAATAATTATATTATAATTATAATAATTATATTATAATTATATACAAAATTAAGATGTGGTTGCAATATAAGCGTATATAGAGCGGATTTCGTATGACTGTGCTAAAAAACACGGTACGTTCGTGCTGTGTTCATACCGTGCCRTAGCYGCGATGCATTGGAAAATCTTTACGTAATGTTTAAAGTCCGACAATGAGGACTGGACGGGATTTCAAGTCCGCGCAATAGTTCCAGTCCGAGGCGTTAGCCGAGAAATGTATTGATATATTGCATCTCCACTAAGGTTTTCAGTTTTCATAATTTTGAATACATGAAGCACCGTTTGTTGTTCTTCAATTCCC